ATCGGCCTCCATCCCTCTGACTTTCTGGAAATGAGGAAATAGTTGGAATAGAACCCTCTTCCATGAAACTCTGGTGGAACTCACTCTATGGCCCTTAGACTGGGCAGTTTTTGGGCTTTTGCTTGTAGAAGGGGCTCGTGAGACAGGGGTCCCTGAAGAGAAATGGGGAAGGAGGGAAGGTAGGGGGTATAGATGTAAAGGGGATGGTGTAGCCAGTTCTTATAAACTTGAGGACCCACTGGGCCATAGTGATGAGAGGCCATTGGTGGTAAAAGGGTCTCAACCAATGGTGGAACATGTGGATGGTAAGCAGCAGATCTAGAGGGTGGTTGCTCATGCCCTCATCCACACCTTCAAAAATACAGATGCTTGGGTATGTTCTGTCCTTCTGCTATTCGTCCATTGTTTCGAACTGTTGTCAAACAACTTTGGATGTTGCTTCTGATAGGAGGTGTCCCTTGATCTCTGGTATGGGGCACATAATCATTATTGCGGCTGATCGGGCCACTGTATCTGCTACGATCATCGATGCTTGGAGCTCTGTGTAGACAATGGATTGGCCCTCTTTCAGGATGGACTGCAGTTGAGGCCTCTTTTGTTCTGGCAGGTCATTCAGCAGTTCCTGTAGCCTGGTGTAACTGGAGAAATCATAATTAGCTAGGAGAGCTGTGTAATTAGAAATTCCTAACTGGAGAGTAGCTGATAAACAGACTTTTCTCCTAAAAGTGTTAAGCCTTTTGTGTTCTTTGTCCTGGGACACTGATTGGTACTGTGGTGATCTAGAGAGATGGCAGACCGAATCTACAACCAATGAGTTTGGCTGGGAGTGAGATAAAAGAAAATCCATCTCCTTCCCCAGGACAAAGTATTTTCTATAGGCCCTATGGTTGGTGGGTCGAATAGAGGCTGGTATTCTCACCCTATGGTTTCCGATGGGTTTTGTTTGTTTGTCTCTCTCGGAAGATATGGTGGGATGTAGAATTTTTAGCAGCTTGTGCTGCTTTTCTTGCACCTCCTGTAGGGCTATGTCTTGTGACTGCACTACCCTTTTAAATAATTCCTGAAATTGTCTCAGGTCATCAGCTAGAGGAGAAGAGGATGACGGAAACACCACTTCCTCAGGGGATGACGAGGACTGCTGTAGTGGATACTGAATCTGACTGAGGTAAGTCATCATCTTCCTCTACAGGTCTTGTCTGAGTTGTGACTGATGGTGAGAGTGGGGTGGAGACGACTGAGCAATCTGCAGAGTAGACTTTGCTGGCGTGTGTGTGGAGGTAGTCACAGCTGACTGATGAGATCAGTGCCAATGTGGTGGTTGATAATGATATTGGCCCCATAGTTCCCAGGGTGGCCACAGAGGTTGGTATTTTTGAGGTGGATATGGCCATGGGTAACTGAGTCAAGGATACAGGTGACCCCTGCACTTTCGACCTAATTGGTTCCTGGAGAACCGTCGTAAGTCGAACCCTTATTTCCCATAGGCACAATGTTATAAATGGCGATTCCATTCCTGGAAATCCATTTTATGCCCTAAAAATACCAACATTGACTACGGAAATGGAGGAAAACTAAATAAAGCTTCTAATCAAGGTTTGAAAACTAGAAACCTCTGCCGATTGGTTGAGCCTTAATCAGGGGGAGGGGCTATCAGGCAAGCCAGGGCTTTATAAAGCAGTGAGTCAGCAACCAGGGAGCTTGCGAACAGGGACTGAAAACAGGAAGTTTTGAGACGGAGTTTGGAAGGGGAGTGAGAAAGGGGAGAGATACATTCACCATTCTTTAAAATCTTTTAATAACATCTGAGGAATCTCTCAGAAGGAAGGCAGGTACGGATAGTGATAAGTCTGCTGTTGTTACCTGCACAGCATGTGTCATGTTTGTCTTCCTCCCCGAAGAAAGAAGGGATTTCATCTGCACTAAGTGCAAGCTGGTCGCCACTTTGGAAGAAAAAAATAGAGGACTTGAGGCCCAAGTATCAACCCTACATTCCATCAGAGAGAACAAAGACTTCCTTGATAGAAGGCAGCATTTAATCCTGCAGGCCCAGCAGTCTGAACAGCCAGTGAGGGTAGTGTAGGACAAGGAAGAAAACTGGCAGCATGTAACCTGGCCAACTTGGGTATCCCCCATTCCTGTAGAGGAAAGTAACTGCTTTCAGGCTCTCTCCACAGGCACTTCCCCAAGGACAAAGTATTTTCTATAGTGCCTATGGTTGGTGGGTCGAATAGAGGCTGCTATTCACCCTATGGTTTCCGATGGGTTTTGTTTGTTTGTCTCTCTTGGAAGCACATCCACTGTGGCAAATCCTTCGCTGCTTCTGTATTGGCACTGGTTGCTTCTCCCTGGACTTGAACGTTCTGCCAACCACTTCTCTTCCTAAAATGGTCAAAGCAACCTTTGCTAGCATTGAAAGAATCGTCCTTGGATGTTCCACCATGTTCATTCTTAAGCGCCTCGAAGAGACTTTTAGCCTTATCCGAAATTGTCGCTGGACTGAGAAGCATATGGATGTGCTGCATCTGATCATTTATGCACAAAATTAAAAGTTTTTCCATTTCGGGAATGAGCCCATCAGTGTTTTTTAATCGGTGTTGTTTGCACTGACCTTGCATTCTTCACTTTTTAGATATTTAGCCTTGTCCTTCAAAATCACACTCATAGTTGAATGAAATAACTCAAATTTATTATCTAGTTCATACACTTTTATGCCTGAATTGTGAAGCTTCAAAATTTCATGTTTAATTTCCAAAGTAAGGGCTTTCCTGGGCTTCTTGGTTGATTTTCCGCTCTCTGCATCACTTTTCCTTTTCTCACACATGGTGAACAGCAAAAATAATTCAAATACCAAAAATAATTCCTCTGAAATTTCCTTCTAAAAAGATTGTACAAAACATCTGTATCTTAAGCAAATACCTGAGGTGAAATCTTGATCCTAATTAAGTCAATAGCAAGATTCCCACTGACTTCAACAAGAATACAATATCACCCCAAAACTAAGTAGACAGTGTTTCCTACACATGGCACTTTCTAGAATAATAAGACTATACTGGTATAAGCTAATTTTGGAATCAGAAAATGGCTCTGGAAAGAATCACAGAAGGCATGTCATTTAGAAAACATCATGGGAGACTGTGCTAGTCCACAGCTATATTTTAAAAGCCTAGATCAATAAATAAAAGATTCGAGTTTGTATAAAACTAGTCAAAGTTAGAATTTTGGGATCTTGATATTTCACAATGGTTTATATAGCAAGGTTAAAAAAGCCAGATCTTAACAGAACTCCAGAATCAAGTTTATTTTTAAATGTTAACATTTTTTCCTCCTTGAAAATAAAACAGAAAGCTAAAATTTAAAGTCGCATTGACAAATAAAAATATAGAACTTCTATAGCTAAGATTGCAGAATACAATTATATGACCCATTTGGGAACATGTGCAAATGGCAGGATCAATGAGGATGAATATATAGACATCTGGATTTCTGCCTAAGTGGCTACTACTTTATTAATTAGCTCTATAATAGGATTGTTTCTCAAGGTAGCTTGTCCTATAAATAGTCAAAAAGGGGGAAGGCAACAGATGCTCCAACTCTCATTGCTTTCCCTTCTTCAATGCCAAATCTGGAGTGTCACAGTCCCAGGGCTTAAAAGGCCTCTTAGGTACATCTACACAGTACCATAACTCGAAATAAGATACACAATTTGAGCTACACAAATTGTGTATCTTATTTTGATGTTGTCGACTCCAACTATATTTTTATGTAGCTGGAATAGTGTACCTTAAGTAGACATTTGGCTATAGCGTAGACTTGGCCTAAGTTTCAGAAGGGCTTGTTGAGGAGGCAACAGACTCTGGCACTGGCTCAGGAGCTGGAGGAGTGGCAACACTGAAACTGGGGAAGAACAGGAGGCGGGTTGCAGAAATACATGGGGGTAAAAGGGCTGCAAGAGCATATTGTGCCTGACTGAATGGGAAAGGGTAAGGGTCAGCCAGGGTCTGTGTGCAGGAGGCTCCCCAACCACCTAAGAAACACCCTCTCCCCCTGAAAAAAAAGCACTTCTTTAGTACTTCTTCCACCTACACTCAACAATCCCCCAGGTTCATTACTAAGCTCTTTCTCTTTCCCATAGCTCCTCAGTTACCTCAAACTTCCTGAAGCCTTTACGCTGCTTTTGAAAGTTGCAAGAGACACGTTTCTATACTGTAATTTAAATTACTCAGCATTCTGTATTTATATATGCCTAATAAGGAAACCATTTGTAAAAAACAAAACAAACAAACAAACAAACAAAAATTCCCTCAGTCTTTGTTACAGACATACTTGCTTACAGGTATCTTGAAATAAATCACAAAAATAATTGAAACTGATGTGATTATATTGTGTTATTTTGACAAATAGGTAGAATTTTAAAATATTATATATAAAATTCTTAAGTTTTTGGTGCAGAATTCCCCCAGGAATACATTAAATATTTAAAATAACAGCTGATTAAGTGTCCTATGCTATGAATTTGAAACAATTCTAAATATTGATTTAAATACTGTGTTAAATACTGATTATTATCATACTATGTGCTTTAAAACACAGATGGTTAATCAAAAGTTATAATATTTTGCCTTCTAGTTTTATAGCAAACCGTGAAGAGATATATGCATATTTTAGGGATATTAAAATGGTTAACCAGTTAAACGAGAGTGCTTAACTGATTGTTTTGACTCAGGTCGTGCTGTAGCCATAAGGTCTCACTGTGTGTCTTGCAGGCTCTTCTGTACCTGGGGCTGCTCTGGCCTGCCGCAGCTGGCCATGTTGGAGTTCAGTGCCAATGGTTGGTTAACTGGTAAGCATACGGGTAAGCTTCATGCTTACCAGATATCCGTTTAACATTCCTAACATACTTTTTAATATACTATATTACACAACCATTAGCATCCAAGTAGTTGCAGGGAAGTACAGAAGTTAATAATTAAATGATAAACATTAGAAGTATTCTTACTTACAATTAGCTGTTTCAAGCCTACAAAAGACTGTTCTACGGAATTAGCATTTAAAACTTGTCTCTTCACTGCAGCTTGCTCACCCAGGAAACGGAGCATTAAGTCTTTTACTGCATCTCCCTGGGACAAAGAGAAAAGGAACCACATACTATAAAAATTATTTTAAACATTTTTAGTAACATAGAACTTTGAAAGAAAAGACAAGTAAAACACTAATAATGGAAAGATTTTTTCAGTGAAAGTGCTTGTTTTTGAGGAAAATTCTTCTTGTAAAATGAATGAAAATCATTGCGTATTTGAGACTTTTCAACAAATTAAAACATTCACATAACTTATTACACGACTTTCTATATTTCTTTCCTCATATTTTGAAGCCTACCAGACAAATACATCTCACATGGTGTTAGTTCTTGTTTCTTGATTGCCTGAGCATACTTTGTCATCAGAAGGGCTTGTTGACACCATTTTGAGACATTATTTTCGAAGTCTGGAAGGAGAAGGAAGCAATTCTGTGTGTAGACCTCAGCCGAAGCCTGAGAAAATTGACTGTTTAGGCTCACTGACTCCATCTCATCCTTGCCACACACCCCCCCTTTCAATCTCTTGAAGATGCTAAGAGGCAATGGCCATGAAAAGCTGTCCCTCAAGTAGTCCGAAAAGGAGAGCAGACCATTCTCAGACATGTTCAGAAAGGGGGTAGCAAGCCAGAGAACTAGCTGTACAAGCCCAGGATGAGATGAAGGAGGATTGTGTGAAGACAGAGGGAGGTGTGGCCCAGTATTTGCTCTAAGATTTTCCATCCATGAGTGGAGTGAATTTTGTGCTGTGTGCCAACGAGGTCTCGTAGGCTTGTTTGGATGTGTGCCACTGTGGCCCCGCCCCCCCCCCCCCTGGTCCCCAAGAGACTCTCTCAGTGCAGAGCCCTGCTCTCAGGTAGCCCCCCCTCCCACCCAGTGGGGAGAAGGTGAAACATGTCCTCACCCCCAGGAGGATTGCTCTGGGGGCAGCCTGTGTGTAGGGCAGGGGCTGCCCCGGGCTGTTCCTTGCAGGGCTGGCTGTGAGTCCCCACCTGAGGCAGAGGGAAGCTGCTTCCAGCATCCAGGGTTTGCAGGGAGTGAGGTGCTGGGAGTGTGGCAGTGAAATATGGTGAGCCGGGTGGGGACAAAGGAGGAGTGGCAGGAGGCCCTGAGGGACAAGAGAGAGGAGCAGTGGGGTGGGGGGGGGAGAAGAGAGATGCAGGGGGCTCCAGCCCCAGGAGCAGCTACACCACAGCCAACCTCCAGCTTTGGGCAGCTGCCATGTGAGCCACCCAGGGAGCAGTTGGGCAGACACTATGCATCCCTGGCCACAGCTCTAGCCCTGGGGAAGTGCCTAGTCCTCAATGATGGAGAGGTGCATAGTGCATATGGATCAGTGGGACTGAATGAGGGGCTGGGCAAACTTCCTGTGTAATTGTGTAACTTATCTGAATTCTGACCTGCAAAATCCCTGCCATCCCAATGCTGGGCTTCCCACGTGTAGCTTTGCTGTTGCCCTTCAATCCCCACTAGCAGCACCTTGCTATCCCAGCTCTAGGCTCGCTGTCTCCAGAGCCCTGCCCGATACTCTCAATCCTGAATTGCAACTAATAGTGGCAATAGGCACTGCAACCATTACAATTGTAGGGAACTCTGAGGTAGTGAGAGGCCTCCTGGAAGTCAGATCATCCCTGTCTGTCATCAGCTGCTCTAACTTGCTCAGTGCTGCCCAGAGCTCTGTATGATGTCCTCCGCCCAGTGTGACCTCACGCAAATCACACATGCCAAGTAGGTGCCTGTAGGCGGCCAGCCCCCACAATGGTCGGGGGGGGGGAAATCGATGTCCCTTTTAGGAAGGGGTGTGTGCTCCCCAAAGTACAGTTCCCTCCTTTTACAATAAATATAGTCCTATGGGCCTGATCCCAAAGTCCTGTTCCCTCTTTTAGGGTAAAGACAACCCAAGAGGCCTGGCCAAAAGTACTGTCCCCATTTCAGGGGGAATACAGCCCTTCAGGCCTAATCTAGAAAGTATTGTTCCCTCTTTCAGGGTATGTATGGCTCTGCCGGCCAAGTCAAAGGTACTATGGTCTCCCTCTGGAAGGCTCTCTGGCCTGGAGGCCTATGCCCCTGGTGAGTCTCCCCCGGCTGTCAGGGAGACAAGTGTCACGGAGCAGGGAGGTAGGGGACCTGAGCCCTCCCACTCCACTAGGTCCCAACCCAGGGCCCTGTTGGCGGTGGACACTTCCACTGCCTGCTCAGCAGGGCATCCTGCCAAAACATGCTGAGCTCCCAGAGATAAACCTCAGCCCTGGGCCACTTCCTACCATCCCTGGGGTTGCCCCCTTCTTGGGGCATTGCTCAATTAATCCAACTCACGAAGAAGGCCTCCCTGGTCAGGGCTGTTGCTAAGGCTGCGGTGGCTGCTGCCGGGGTGGTTGATCCTGAGGCTGCTGTTCCCGGGCCGCGGTTCCTGGGGCAGCTGTGGCTGCAGCGGCTGTTGCCTGAGCTGCAGCTTCTGGGGCTGCTTTGGCTGCGGTGGCAGGGGCTGCTCGGGAGCTTGGTCCTGAGCTCCTTCCCTGCTGGCAGTCCACCCAGACTGAGCTGCTCCTTTAGCTTTTATACAGCTCCAGTAGTTAGAGCATGCCCAGTCTGGGAAGAAGGGCGGGACTTCTGTTTCCCACAGAGTCTTAGCCCCCGCTTCAGTGTGGGGCACATCCGCCCCATCATAGTGCTCTGAAACTGAGCTGTGCATGAGGTTCTCATCGGGCAAGCTCTACCACTGCCTGCTAGACAAGCCCCAGGCTTCCTCCCCAGCTCTGTTGGTATCCCTCAATCCCCACCCACAGCTTCCCTGCTATCTTAGCCCTCAGCTCCTAATTCCTGTCCTGTTTTCCCCTCATCTAAGACTGGACTTTGAATGACCAGAACCTCCTATGCTCTGTAAGGGCTCTGTGATGTGCACTCTAATGAGCCCCATCACCCACATTTTTCCACTAGGAGTGGAGAGGTGGACAGTAAATCCTTGGCCACCCAGCCCCACGGAGCCTTTCCCCAGCTGAGCTCCTACCAACCATTGATCCTGAAGTTACCCACTTATGCAAATCAGCACAACAAAGGGATTGCAGAGCCCAGAAATAGGTGAGAAGGCTACAGTATGAAGGAGGTCTCTCTATAGGTGATACATGCCCCTCCCCTCATTCCCTGCAGAGCCAGCAAGGGGGCATGGGCTGCTCCCAAGAATAATTGTGGGCTCTGTGTAAGCCTGCCATGGGGCCCCAGCTGGCCACTGGAGCAGCCCACCACCACCTGGCCCCAGCCACTGCCTACCACGCGGCTTCAGCTGCCGGGACAGCTGCC